CAGATTATCAAATGAACAGTATGATCGAGACTTGGATTGGAGTTGTAATTACCAAATTTTGGGTTGAATGTTGATTCAAACGAACAATTACAAATTAAGAATCAAATCGAACAAAATAATACGATTGGATCGGGCTTGATCAATGAAAAAATTTATTGGATCATAACAAATAGGTTAGAAACGGATTTTATCCATTGAGACAAAGTGATCAAAAATGAAAAATGCAAAACACAAATTGAAATCATGGATATTTGGGAATCCATTTTAGAATTTTTGATACCTTTTTGATGATCTGAGTTCCATTTGCAACGAACGAATCAAATTTCGAAGATCTTGGTTCTTTTGTTGGAACAAGAAAATCTCCAACTTGAACATTGTACCATCAACATTTTTGGCTTTTGACGTCAATTTCAATGCAACACTTGGTGATTGTTACTTTGGAACCCAAATTTGCTTCATGGATTTCCATTTCACAACAACATTTGATGATTTTTGTGAATAAACCCGCTTGTTTTTACGTTTAATCTTCTTCTTCTTTTTCTTTCTCTTCTTCATGGAACTTGAAGATTTAAATTCATGAACAAAGTCACTTTCCACAACTTCAACTTGACAAGTTTGGGTCATATCTTTTGGAGTTTGATATTTGTGAATTTCTTGGATTAACGGCTTCCGGTAAGGAATCATTCCTTCAAACGAATTAGAAGAATGCAAAATATCATAAGTTTGAACTCCAATTAAGCAAAAAAAATCCATCTTCTTGAAAATCAACTTGAATCTTCTTATCATGAATTTTAAGAACATTAAGAACATGATGAACTTATTCAAGAACCTCCTTATGATCTTCATGAACATCCGTGTAAAATTGAAGCACATTGGAACCTCTTTTTGGAACATCAATACAAATTCCTTGAATGATTTCATCTTTTTTCTTCTTCCGTCTTCTATCATGATATGTTGCAACCAAACGATCAAGCAAACTTTTATTCTTCTAATGACCAATTTCATATCCAATCATTTTTCCCAATTCATTTTTTCACCATAATAAATGATTGAGTAGCTTTTGATCAATCCAAATACCAAATAATATAGAAGGTCTTCAAAATTGTATGAATAGTGTATTTTTCTTCTTCTAATACATATCACAATTCACAGATTGGTTCTTTTATATCGGATCAATCAATAAGATCTTGAATTTTTCTATAGAGAGAAAGTGATTTTGAATGGGATTTCTAGAGAGAGAGAGAGAGAGAGTCAAAATAACTTGAATTCTAGTGAAGAAAATCGAATTATGAAAAGAATCAATGAACAATTCGATTTTTAGAATCCAAAAAATCTCTAAAACACGAAGATCAAAATCAAATGAAAAATCACCAATTCTAGAATGTCATCATGGATCAATTCTTGATCAAATCAAGAACATCTGCTCAGATACAAATTGTAGTAGTGTTGATTATGATGACATATGCAGAATTGATTAGATCTAGTGAAACATTGTTAGAATGATGAACACAAGGAGTAAATAAATATGGTTTATGATCTCATTAGATCTAGAAAGAAAATACAAAGTGGGTCCTGTACAAATCTCTCTCAAGTCTAACTCTCCAAATGAACATTTTATAAATGAGTGTCACTTACATGCTATTTATAGGAAAGACAAACCATTACACAATACAAGAGGGTGAACACAAATTACATCCAAGCGTGACTTTGCACCCTAACAAAAACCAATGAAACAACAAAAATGACCAATATTTATTTACCTAGTTGCGCCACGCTGCGAAGATATTGGTTTCTCTGACTTTTCAGGTGTTTACTACTTCTCCACATGTCGCTCTCTAACTGACATGTGTCTCTGTGAATCTGTTCCTTTCCATGTTGTGGTGAAGACTAAGCCGCACCGTGAATAGCCTCCATTGACCGTTTCACTTTGGCTTTCTCGAAATAGCAATGTACTTTAATCTCAACTTCAAACAACCATCACTTTATCATACAAGCTTTGTTTTTGACGAACTCTATACATGAGTCTCATTAGAGGATTACAATATCTGACTTTTACTCATCCTGATATCGCCTATGTTGTTCATGAAGTTTTTCTATACATGTATGTTCCTCATGAACCATACTCATTTCCCTAAAATGCATTATGCACTACATTAAGGGTGCCCTCACTCATGGTCATTTTTATGCACATTCACTATTGACCACTTGCTGTCTTACTCCGATGCTAACTGTGTTGGTTGTCCTCTAACCTGCAAGTCTAATTTTTTTGGTGTCTACTTTGGTGACAATATCATTTCAAGGTCTTCTAAAAGTCAACATTTTGTCTTCCCTTCCAGTGTCCACGCTCAGTACAGGGAGTAGCTAATTTCGCCACTAAAGTTGCATGGCATCATAATCTTCTCCTTGATTTATATTGCCCATTGACTAATGTTACGATTTAGTTTTGGGACAATGTAAGTGTCATGTACCTAGAATCTAACCACGTACAATACCAACATACAAACATGTGAAAATTAATTTACATTCCATTAGGGAATATGTTGTTGTTGGGCATGTTTGTGTCTTTCATATGCCATCAGTTCACTAGTTAGCAAATATTTTTATAAAGGGACTTCCTACACTACTATTTCTAGATTTTCAGAACAGATTGAGCATTTGCGAACAATCAACTCAAATTGCGGGGTTGTGTTAAGAAACTTTATGTTTATTCATGTTTTGTACTTGTGTATACTGTAAAGTTATGTATTATATATATTGAGATAATATAATGCAAACCCTACGGGATTCTACCAAATCGAATACCATTAAGCTCCATCAACCACATATATATGAGTGATTTTAAAAGGATTTTGACAGCAAGAACTTGCCTAGAACACATCCAATGGGGAAAAAATTTGGCCATAGAAAGTGCCAAAAAAACTAAAGAGAAAGTTAGGGGTTAATCGAACCAAGGGAAGCATTTCAACTCATAATTCATAACAAATCACTATAAATTGAATCTAAACCACATGAGGAAGAATAATAAAAACTTACCAACAAGATTGATTGATTTTATAGCTTCAACTGAGTCACACAAAGAATTCTTGTTGACCCTCTTTCTCCTTCTCTCGCCTGCCAAACTATGTCCACACACTAGTCGCTCATCATTCATAGCTTCCTCTTCACTTCTGGCACACGTCACACACACATACACGATTAGAATGAGCCCTTATTATTTTTTTATCGATCACAATAGGCCCATGGACAAATTCAAGTGAGTTATTGTGCGTATTTTGCATCCCATAAGAAAACGGACGTGAGGATGTTATAGACCTATATATCCATACCCCTCAAGTTATTTCTAATTAATTCCCTTAATCCTAATTCACTTTCTTTAATAAATTATGTTTCTTAAAGCTACACTTTAGCCCTTTAACTACATATAAACCTTTTAATGACTATTAATTACCCTAAATACACCCGAATTAACTAAATTAAATTAGATTTCTCTTACATATTTTTTCATTTCTTTTGATATTGTTGGGTATAGAAGATTGCGTCATTGGGCTTTTTGTTTTAGTTCATTATGCATATGGTTTTGGGCCTGTCCAACCATCATTTATTAGGGTTATAGTATCTATATCTAGTGCATGCATGCACCGTGTATGAGTTAGTCGTTGATTTCATCATTGTAACCCTACCACACCTCTACAGTAGCAATTCTTAATGGAGTTCTTCTGAGGTTGTGGCTTATTAATCATTCTGAGATCTGTTTGATTCAGATTGTGTTCTTATTTGACTTATGTTCTTGTGTTGCTTGTTAAGAATCTTATCGATCTTAAAGAGTTTTAGTGTCATCAATTGGTATCAGAGCGGGTCTTTGAAGATCTATTGATTTTTGAAGTATCGGTTATTGATTTGAAGATCTTTTGCACAAGTTATTGAAGATTTTTGGTGTTTTGGCGTTTTGGAATCAAACTTTCTGTTCAAGCAACTGTTCATGGAGGCTTATTTTTTCTGTTATTGTTCATCTGGTATTATTTCAATCCGATTTGTTCTTCTGTTCGTATTTTCTTATTAGATCTGTTTGTTAATTTGATCCAAAAATCAATTCATTTTATTTCGTCCCAAGGAATTGGCTCATTACTGTTTGAGATCTACTATCGACGACCTTTCTTTTCTTTAAAACTCATTAGCGTCACTTCTTCTGTGTTTCATTCATCCAGTTCGATTTTTCTTTTTTCTCAAAACCATCAATCGATGATTTGTCTGAGGTTATTGCTTGTTGACGTTTATAAATCAATCATTTATTTTGGTATTAATCCAAGTTCATATGTTTCATCGATCTTCTCGTTCTTACTGTTGATTTGATTTCATTCGTTTCTTGTTGATCTTTAAAATGGCTAATGATCTCTGAATGAAATCAATATGTGGAGTATTGAGTTGGTGTTGGTTGAATACAATCTTTGAAGTCATATGATGAATAACTTGTATCTCGATTTGGATGGTCAAACTCAAAAAGTCAAAATTCAAAAACCATTTGAAATCGGGATGTTGTAATAGATGTGGAAGTATTCAGTGTTTAGGAATTATCACTCGGAATTGAAACCAACATATGTTCTTGATATCAGCTTTGGAATTACAAACAAATCGAAAAGGTTGTATCTATTTGTAATCCTTGACAGTTCACCAATCGCAAAATGGGAAATACATTTGGAATTGCTTTGAAGCCTGTTCGCAATCGGAAGTGTGATAATTAACGAATGAAATCGGGATCGGGACCGTTTTTAGGTTTGCAAGATCGGGATCGGGATCCTAAGATCCCACAAAAAAAACATAATTTTAAATGAAAAATATCTCCAACATCAAGTTTTCCGTTCTAAAGCTATAAAAAATTCAAAACATTAGTCACAACACACAAGTACCATTTAATCTAGTCTAATATAACAAAAAGTACTACATCCATATCACCGGCCTCTTTTAAATTCAAAATATTAGTCACAACACAAATACCATTTAATCTAGTCTAACATAACAAATTGTGCATCCAAATTATCTTCCTCTTCTAAATCCAAAATATCTTCTCCTAAATCTCTTCCATCATCCGCACCTGCAGTTAAATGTAAACATGACATTAAACTAAAAGTAAAAACAATCATTTATAATTTTAAGATAACAGAATAAAAGAATAACTCACGCAATTGATCTCTTATAGCACTTTCAAGAAAATCATCATCTTCATTTACATCATGATTAGAAGACGGTTCTTCAGTAATCCACTCATCATCAGAACTAACATCATCAAGATTTAATGTCTCGAGTCCATCATTCCCTTTTCCTTTATTTTCATCTCTTCCATTCAGCTTCAAGTTGTACATAACATACACAAGATCATTCATCTTTTGTTGTTGTAGTCGGTTTCTTCTCTTAGAATGTACCTATATACGACATAAAGAAAAACCCAAAATATTAGATAATGATATAATAAAAGTAACATTAAAACATAATGTCGTTACTTGTTACTTATAAGTTACCATCTCAAAGGCACTCGAATTCCTCTCACAACCGGATGAATAACATGTCAAGCTCAAAATTCTCATTGCAAAACTTTTCAACTCGGGCGTGTCATCTCCATAGGAATCCCACCAATCAACCGGAGATTTTTCTTTTCTTGTTAGCTTAGCTACATTAAGACCAAAGAGACCTCTTGCATTCGTGAATTGATCAAACTGACAATCAATTGTCTTCGCTAGGTTCTCATCAGCACCACATATTCTTTCTAGGCACATGTACAATCCACTTTTGATCCAACCATTATTCTCAAAATCATCGCTATATTGCATTTGTGGGTTCAAGTAATAACCCGCCACATGTTGTGCCATATTCATCTGATTATACCATCTATCATCAATGATATCATAAATAGGTCCATACCTGAAAATATATGTAAAATATATGAGTTGTTGGTTTAAAATTAATTCTGAAAAATATAAACAAAAGCCAAAAAAAAATTACCTTGTTTGGTTATCTTTGAAGTTTTCTTTAATTTCCTTCTTTGCATTTACCATGGCTTGGTAAATGAAACCCATAGCTGGTTTAGAATCTGAATCAACCAATCGAAGAACCTTCATTAAGGGTTTCGCGGCCCTAAGGCATGTGATAACTGATGACCAAAATCCCACAGTGTCCATAACTATATCCTCAACATCTTTTCCGGTGTCATTCCTTGCATAGTTAGTAGACAACCATTTTTCAGATGCAAAAAACGAGATCAGTGCACTTTTCAACTCAAACAAGCGACCAAGTGTAAGATAAGATGTGGCAAATCTAGTTGCTCCAGGCCTAAGGAGCTCTTTCCCTTTTGTAAACTCTTTCAACAAGCAAATTAGTCGTGACCTATAATATACTAAACTTGTTATAACTTATAACTTATAACTTATAATTGATAAAAGAACTTATATAAAAAATAAATCAGAAGTTAAGAACCAATTGTCACCTATTATAGATGAAACTTGTTATCTTTCTTCCCTTTGTAATTGTCACCTTATGTTCTTCAATCTTTTTCTCAAAATCCTCCAACATTAGATCTATACAATGAGCTGCACATGGTGTCCAAAACAGCTTCTTTCTCTTTTGCATCAACATCTCCCCAGCAGCCTTATAATTAGCAGCATTATCCATGACCACCTGAACCACATTTTCTTCACCTATTTTTTTAGCAAAGTCATCTAACATTGAAAATACTTTCTCCTTCGTCTTGATAATGTCAGATGTGTCGATTGATGCTAAAAATATAGTTCCTCTAGGACTATTTACAAGAAAATTACATATCGATCGATTTTTTCGATCACTCCATCCATCACTCATAAGTGTGCAACCGGTCTTCTTCCATTCCTTTTTGTAATCTTCCATTAATGATTTGGTGTAATCAACTTCCTTTTTCAACATTGTGACCCGTATTTCATGGTAAGAAGGAGGATTAAGGCCTCTCCCAAATTCACCAACCATTTCAATCATTTTTCGAAACTCGGGATTTTTTACACAGTTAAAAGGGATGGCACTTGTGTAGAAAAACCTTGCAATTTGTTGGCAAACTCTTTCACCTTCTTCCTTCTTGAAAATTGATTTCATTGTGCGTTGAACCTTTCCTTTTTTTGTCACATTGTTTTCCAAGTTATTTCCTCTTGCTTGCCTCTCATAGACCTCATCATCTTCACTGGCTGAAAATGCACCTCTCTTTTTCTTTGTTACCATATCATTCTCTTCCAATAACCGATAAAATTCGAGCCTAACATTTTCGGGAACTTTATCACAAGGCGCGACATTATTACGTGTGCGACCTAAGTGGTGTTTGAATCTGAAAATCCCACCAGAGCATACAGAGTTACAAAATTTACACTTGACTTTCCGATCATGCATATCTAAACCATGTAGCCAACCAGGATCAGTTCTGGCCCCACTAGCATTTTTTCTCATTTTACTAGTTGTTGAAGGTGCAGAAGAAGTTGTTGGAGCTGATCCAGAACTACTCTCCATGATTTCTGAAATAAAAAAAAATAAACACAATTGTTATAAAAATTGAATCAAAGCTGGAAAGTTGAAAGTTGAAACAAATAATCTAGTAAATAGAACTTGTTTGATTAATGTGGAGGTTTTATCATATATACCCCTGAGCCTACAATAATCAATGTACAAGGGTAAATATGTCATTACACACCTAACCATCAATAAAAAGACAATCACTTTACATGGCTGGATCATGGATGTATAATTCCATCCTTATTTATATATTTGACGATTGTGTTGTTACTTCTGAAGTCACAAATATCATGCAGAATCATATTATCATGTACAATGTGACAGTTCTTGTAACAACTTATGTCCCACAGTCAACTAACTTGTAAAGAATAAGGTAGAATTCTGAGCAATGTACTGACTACGAGTTCAATTTATATTTAAGCAAAATCATATTATCATGTACAATGTGGTTATCGTGGTCAATTTCTGGTGATCAAAATCGACAGAGGAGAAGAAATGTCATACCCAGAAAATTTATGTATAAGCAAAATCGGAACTCACACAATTGTTGAACAGTCGACAGTTCGACACTAAGTTACTAACCTTCTGCGTGATCTCAGAGGTCGATTTGTTCAGAGTCGGCGTCAATGCTTCATCCGTTCATCAGTTCGTCAACAGAAGAAGAAGGGAAGGTGGGAAACGATTCTATCATTCTAGGTTTACAATGTTATTCTCGACTTCTCGTTTCCGTTTGAAACTTTGAATGATATCTTATCAGATCGTGTAATCGAGAAAGGGGAATAAGCCTAAGGGGTAAAGAGTAAATCCAATTTTAAATGGAGAGTAGGATCGGATCGGATCCCGATCCTACGATCCCATATGCGATCTTACGATCCCACTCCCGATTCTACCTCGAATACAATCCCTATACGATCCAGTTCGTTTTTAAAACCTAGGATCGTAGGATCGTGCGATCCTACGATCAGGATCACGATTTTGACAACCTTGGTTTGGAATTTAACTGGATTGATCTAAGGATGTTCACCATTGGATGGTCAAACTCTAAAAGTCAAAATTGATGCGAACTATCTCACCTGCGAATGACCGAAGCTTGATGGCTCAGACTCGTTTTTCCACGAACGTTCGAAACCGATTGTTCGGAGTATGCTTGGATTCGGGGATTGACTTTGATTTGCACTATAATTGTTTGACTTGGAACGAACCGACTCGGAATCGGAGTTCTTGTCGGCTCGGAATCGAAATGTGATGTTGGATGGCTTGAATCAGAACGAGAGGGTTCCCCGGATTGAATGAAATATGAAGGCGATCAGAACAAAAGTGATTGGAATTATTTTGATAAATTTTTTTTTCTCTCATTGCGAAGGTTTCGGATTCTCAAGTTCTATCGTTGTTACTATGTCTCGTTTATAACCAGATCAAATGGGGAAGACAATTCATGATTACACATTTGGACCCTATAATTTAAGCAACGTGGCAGTTTTGGTTCCGTTTCAGAAATTGGTACAAATTAAAGAGAAAATGATGCATAATTACTTTCTCAGTCCCTATCTTTCAGCAAAGTGACAGTTTCTGCCCAATTGTCGAAAAGTTTACAAATTTAAGGGCTGGTGAACAGTTTTGAATTTTTTAACACACATATTTTTTCGTGAACAGAAAATTAAGGATTCCATCAAGTCTTGGCGGTTCGGAAAGTCGTTTTTCGTGATAAGGTCAAATTTTTTCGACTATTTCGAACTTTATACTTCATCGTTTATAACATTTTGTCGCAGGGGAGCATTGTAATTTTTTATCCATTCAAGATCATTATCATTACCATTTGAAGGCTTTATAATCACGTTTTTTTATTATAAATTAGGGGAGAATTTGGTATGGCCATTTGAAATTGGATATGTGACTTTTCAAATTTGATTTTTGATAAAGCTTGTGGTAGAGTTATGAAGGTAGCTTTTACAATAGCAGTTCTTCATCGAGCTCTGCTAAAGCTTTTATAGAGAAGTATCCTTTATAGTAGCAGTTCTTCATCGAGCTCTTCTAAGGACTTGTTATATCTCCGACTTCTAGTATTTTCTCGATCAAGCGACGTTACGAATCTTAAAATTTGGGTTGTTACATGATATTTTTTTGTGGCTTATATCATTAGCTTATTTGAAGATCAGTGTGACTAGGAGGGGGAGTTCTTCAAAGACAAGAAGTGATTTGGTTTCTTAATTCTGAAATGGGTTTTGATGGCGGGTTTAGCTTGATTGAAGATCTTTGGGATTACATTAGAAAATGAAGTTTAAAGACATTACTTCAGTGCTTGGTTTATATATCCTAGAACCCGTTTTAGAAGACTATTGAAGAATCAAGATTCGTGGATTGCTTCAAATATTCCTCGTCGCAAGATCATTTCTTATTTGATAGATGCTTTTTTTGGAAGTTGAAGCATTGTCATCCATTCCATACTTTGAGGGGGAGATTTTAGGATTTCAAAGTACTCCATGGATTATGGCAATGAGCCCCCTTGATGAAGTGTAGGTTAAAATCCCAAGACTTGTTTTTTCCCTATAAATAGTCATGTATTATTCATAATTAGGGTTAAGAGTGAGGTAAAATGTAGCCACCACGTTGTGAGGTTTCTTATGTAGAGTTAGATTATTTAGTCTATTCTTAAAGTGTAATCTATTCCTCATGTTTTGAATAAATCGAGTGATCATTCGACATATCTTCATATTTGTGTTTGTTCTTATTTTCCGCATCTTGTTCATCAAATCTTAATTAGGGTTTTAATCCCAACAAGTAGTATCAGAGCGGGTTGTTGTAGATGTCAACGATTTTTGCAAGAATCGATCTTTTTATGGCGATATTTTATCATGAATATCACCTTGTTCCTCAAGTTTTGTAAGTTTTCTGAAAAGAAAAAGTCTATACCTCGTTTTTATTGAAAAATCTTTTTCAGATCTGTTATCTTCAACTCATTATTTCATCTGATTTGTTCTTGAATCGTTATCTAGAAGAGAATTAGAAGAAAAATTTTCGTGTTTATTCGAATTTTCGTGTTCAGATCTACTTTATCTCTCTAAAATTCGTTTCAGATCTGTTTTTCTCTCTCTAGAAACCATCTCAGATCTGTTTTCTCTCTCTAGAATTCTCATCAAATCTACTTTCTCTCTCTTCAAGTTTTCTTTCTTGTTGAAGATTAAATGGCGGATTATCAGGTGTTTAGAGACATTAAGAGACTAGGATTAAAATTTACAGATCCAAAGTTTCGTCTTAAAGATGGATATTTGTTTTGGGATGTTCCTGAACAATCTATGTTGAAGAATGTCATTGAGATGTATAATCTCTATGTTGATGAGAAGATTGGTGATTTCACACAGATCTCTAGTGGTGGATTTAAAAGTAATTGTGTAGAGAAAGATAAAGATTTGTTAAAACAATTTATCATTATCAAAGAATACTTACTTTTGAAGCATATACAACAAAAGTTAGAGAAATAAAGAAAAGAAAAGGAAGGTGTTCTTGATGAAGTTCATAATTTTCTTCATGTTTCTGAAGAAAAGGTGACTCCAGATGCTTTTGTGGAGGGGGAGTTAGATGTTCATACAAAGGTTTGAGATTTAGAAGTCATTAGCTCCGATTTTAGTGTTTTAAATAGTGAATCGCAAATCAAGTCTTCTGAAATATTGAAAACAAAGGAGTTTTATTGGAACAACAACATATGATTTTTTGTGTTCTGATGATGCCTATGAAGGATTGGTTCTTTACAGAAAGCCAATAATTCAAGATGTTCAGATTTATCAAATTCATAAGGATTGTGTTCAAAAGTCTTCAAATGTTCAAATTCAGAAAGATGAAAAGGTTGTCCAGATTCAAAATTCGTTTATGAAGCCTAGAAATCAGAAAAGAAGAAAGAAGAGGAAGAAGAACAAGAGTAAAACAAAGAAGGTTTGGATGCCCATGGTACAAGTATCCAATGCTTGTGAAAAAGTTGAGAAAGTTGAAGTCAAGCATGTTCAAAGAAACTTTAGTTCTCATTTTTCTTCAAATAAAATGGTTAGAAGTTGGAAGGAAAATAAAAGAAAATTTGGTTGGTTCAATGAAATTTATGGAAATTTTTGTTTTCCAACTAAAAGGAGGGTATTATTTTCAGAATATGATAGATTTTCTTCAAATAAATGGGTTTGCAAGAAACGAACGTCAATGTTAAACCTTAAATGGGTACCAAAAGTCCCATAAAACTTTTGACCTTTATTAAAAAAATGAGGACAAAAGTTGGTGAAAAATTAGTCAAAAAAGGTGAAATCTTGTTGGAGGAATCAATTTATTGATCTTTTTAATTTATTGGAAATAACAAAAGGTTGAAAAATGTGAAAAAGGGGGTGAAAAGTGACATTTTTATGGAAAAAGAAGGCTGCTATTTGACACTTTTCAGCAAAAAGGGTGCATTATGTCAGTTCACTGCAACCACACGGGTCAGATTCAGAAGTTTGAAGAAATAAAGTGTTACATTTGCAACTTCATTAAAACAAAAGCGAAGGTCCGTTTCTCACCTCAAGCAGCGAAAGTTCGTTTCTTAGGAAGGAAGGTAATGAAGCGAAAGTCAGGCAGCAAAATTCATAGAAGCGAAACTAACTGAAACGAACTCACCAAACAAGAAGCGAAAGTCAATGAAGCGAACGTAGTGAAGCGAAGGTCAAGAAGCGAACTTGGGTTAGTGTCCAAAAATTGGAAACGAATGGTACCTACGTTCGGTTGGGTTCACTTTTTGGTTGTGTAATCGACGGAACGAACCTGTAATTGGATTTGAAGCAAACCTGAGATTCGATTTCGGTCCCTGATCAATTGAATTAGATTCGCAACGAACCTGACAATCAATATGCGAAGGTTCGTCTCTCGCCTCAAGACACAAACGCGAAACTGATTTCATTCATAAGCAAAAATTGGAACTGTTCATCAAAATTGAAATCAGAATATCATGCTTCAAAGTCGAAATCGATTGAAATTGAATGTCACAA